AGAGGCTATCACGGCCCAGAACGCGCTGCGTGACGTGACGGCCGAGCGCGATGCCATGGCTGCCTCCAGCAACCGACTCGCCTCCGAGCTGAGAGCGGCCAAGTCACATGCCGCAGCACTGGAGGCCGCGTCGATGGCGTTTTGGAGCGCGAGCGTCAAGCTCGTCTGGACACGACACGGTCGATGGACGAGCAACGCAGTGTCCATCAAGAGCGACTGCAAGCAGCGAGAACGCAGATCCGGACGCTGCAGGATGCTCTCGCCGCTGCCAACGCCAGCCGCCAAGCCGACGCCGAAGCCCACGCGGCCGCTACAGGCGCCCTGGAAACAAGACACGAGCACGAGGTCCGGGTGCGAAATCAGGAGTTTGCGGCCACGATGCTGCAGCGCGACCGACGCATCAGCGACCTCGAGGCGAAACGCGGGTTAGGTGGGGTATTTAGAAAAAAGAAGCGTTAGACAGATAGATCGATAGTTTGATAGTTGATAGATAGATATACTGATAGATAAATAGATAGTTGTGCATGGTAGCCATGGTAATAGAAGCAACCGAGGACGTAGTACGAACGAACGATTTCATTGCAGCTCCCTCGCGACTGCCTTGCTCCTCGCAACAACCTCGCGACCTACCGGCGGCTACCGGTACTAGGACCAGCGACTGTGTTACGAACGACTCAAGACACGCTCACCGCTTGCCCTACCGTACGGCTGTCCAATGCCATTCGTGCTGTCGATGTCATTGGGTTGAAGGTGCACCCACAGTCGCTGCGGCAGGAGATGTAGAACGAGAAGATTGGCGCATTCAGGGCCTGGAAAAGCGGTCGCACGATGAGCAACGCTGTGACGCCGGGTCGATGGTATGGCGGCAGCGCGGAACACGAGTGTGAGCGTCGTCATGCCTTTGGAGTGGTCGACACGCTGCACGCCGACGACTGAGACGTAGGATGCCTCCTTCCACGCGTCCATCGTCTGGGTATCTTGGTGCAAGACTGCGTCGCAGTCGGTGGCAATACCACGAGGGGCTCGAGCTTGATACCAGGCTTGTCGTCGACCGTTCCTGTCGCGGGTGGTGGCACGGCTTGGTCGTCCACTAGCGCAAGGGAATATTCCCTTGCGCTAGCGGGACTCTACATACATCCATCATTAGAGCTCATCGTACAGGACGAGGGCGAGCGATGGTCAAGGACCTGCGCTGTCGCCGGCGGGGCGGTAGCACCTGGAGCGCCGGGCAGCAGCTGAATTTAGTCCCATGGAGTTGTTCCTATGCATCGGTCGCGCTTCCGGCGGGCAGCTCTCCTTGACGAGCGCGCTCTCTTCCATGCTTGCAGTGGCGTCGGCTTGGAAGATCGGCCAACACTGGTCACTCCGAGAATGCATATTCTAGGTATCCGATTACAGAGGTATTTCGGCTGTTCCCGCCAAAAATGCGCACGCAGTCTTCCTACGATCTCAAGGCGCCTTGTACGGGAATGAATGCACCTCGGACTTTAGCACTCTAATCATGCAGTACGGCAACCAATCGATCAGCTAGGCAATGCTACAAGCAGGTCGTTCTTAGTCGTAGAAACGTTTTACATCTTGCCGGGCGCACCTTTTCTTCACACGTCGTCGGCGAAGACTCCCAGCATCCACAGGCTAGTCTCGTGCGAAGCTTGTACCGTTCAGGTAGCGATGTCTTGACCGACGATCACTTTGCCTCTTGTCGCTTAGGTTTGGGCAGACCTTGGTTTCCAGGACTCGACCAAGTAGGAAGATAGAAACACCGATGATTTGGGTCTAGTCCGAGTCACTACTACTGCTATCGCCGTCCGAGTAGTTGGCGACAAGACCGAGACCGGTGCTGGTCGTCTTGGTGTTTTTCTGCCTCTTCTTGGGCTGCGTCGGCGCAGACCCCTTGGTTGTTGCTATCTTTTTTGGCTTGGCTTTGACGACGACGACCGGCGGCAGCTTCTTCTCGGCCGCTATTGTCGTCGGCAGTACGACGGCCGCAACCTTCTTTGTGTGCGCCAGCGTATCCTTCTTGGCCATGACTAGAGATGCGCGTATGAGACATCGTGCGGCATCCTCGTGCACACCAAACTGAGCAAGGTCCGTGTCGAGCTGGCGCTTAAGCCCGTCTTCGACGCTCTTTTGCTGATCTTCAAGCGCCCGAATAAACTCAAACTCTTCGTCGTCGAGGCCCTTTGGCGGCGCTACCATATCCAAAGTAGTATATGTTGCCATCGGGTTTCGAACGCAGGACCTACCGAACGGGTTGTTCTTCTCCTTCCACTCGGCGTCGCGCTGGTCCTTCATCTCTTTGAGACGATCGTAGAGCGGCCGCGCGTCCGAGATGGCGATGTCCGCCGCCTCGGGCTTGTCCGAGATGCGGGTCTCTTCCACATTGTCGCCAAAGAGCTACAAGATGCCATCACGTCGGCTGCTGCACGTGCATGGACGTAATATACCCCGTCCGACGACGAGAGCACAGCCGTCGAGACGAAGCCAGCAATGGGCTTGGAGCGCGGCCGCGCGAGTGGATCCGCCGGCTCGGCGAGGCCCAGGCCCGCGGCCTCGGTCGGGAACTTACTCGTGACGCTGCTGGTCGGAGCGGCCATGAGGGATCGTGTGGCTGGTCACTGGCAGAAATGCATTTTTCGAGCGCATGTCGCAAAGAAGCGTTTTCTATTGCTTCTTTGGAATATGTTTTGTAACGCTTAAGTAAGCGCAAACGAAGCGCCGCAGCCAATCAATTCGCAGCGATTCCGAGCCATCCTCTGAAATCGACGACCATGAAGCGCGGGTCTCATGCGTCGCCGGAGCGGTCGGCCAAGAAGGCCAAGGCGCCGGACACAGAGGCCTCGAGCATCCTCCGCGACTTCCTCCTCAACATCCAGAAGGGCCACGCAGAGCCGCTGCTCGCCTCGCTGCTGGCCTTCCACGCCGCGATCGAGTGGGCGTCGCCGTTGGACTGCGCCGTCTTGCAGGCGTTCCTTGACATCTCGCCGCGCGCCGATCAGCTCTTGGACCTCTGGGGCAGCTCTGTCTGGGTCGACGACAAGAAGCGCGAGCTGTTTGCGCCGCTGATGGAGATTCTGACGGCGGTCGCGGCCAAGCTCCGAGCGACAGACGTGCCGGTGGCCGAAGCGTTCGGCCTCGCGATCCTCAAGAACAAGATGGACTGGATCACCAAGCAGCTCACGTGGTCCGACAAGCCGCGCATCGAGCACGCGACGCTCACGCTCTGCAACGAGCTCGTCTCGACCAACGCGCGCCTCGCCCGCGAGTTTGTTCGGCTCTTTGACTTTGGCGCCAAGTTCTTCGCGACGCTCTGCGGTCGCCGCGCCAAGGACGTGACCATTCCCGACTCGAGTCGCGTCTTCTCGGTGCGCCATAGCTTTGTGTGCTTTGTGCTCTCGCTCACCGCGTCGCACGACGAGCACGTGTACCGGTTCATGGTCAAGGCCGACGGCCCGACGCACAGTCTCTTCAAGAGCATCGACGGCGACACGCTTCCGGATGTGACGGCGATTCTCTCGACGTTGGAGTCGACGGTCCTCGCCAAGGCCGACGTCGCCCACAAGCACAACGTGCTCTCGATGCCGGCGATCTCGCAGCTGCTCAAGCTCCTCGAGTCACCCGACGACGCCATCTGCGACCTCGCCAAAGCGTTTCTGCACAAGATTTTCTTTGCAGAAAGCGCGCTGTACCACGTGAGCCAGATCTCGACGCTGCCATTCCTGACGAAGAAGGGCGCGAAGGCGCTGCATTTGACCGAGACCGACGAGGCGCCGACGTCGATCGCCGCCAGCATTGTCACCAAAGTGCTCAAGTCGTTCAACATTTCAGCGTCGCTCGGCGACCCGAAGCGCGAAGCGCTCCTGCTCGAGTTCCTCAAGCATTACCCTGGCCTCGTGCTCCCGCTCTTTGAGTCGTACTTGGTGGTCGTCCAGCCGCGCCCGTCCTTCAAGTGGTTCTCGGCCGCGTCGTTCGTCTTGCAGTCGCTGCGTCTCCCGCTCACGCCACTCGAGGCGACGCTGCGTGCGCACGTCGATGTCGCGTGCCTCGACGGTCTCAAGCAGCTCTTGCTGCCCGTGGGCCTCACCAAGAGCGTCCTCACCAAGGCGCTTCAGCACACCGACATGCTCGTCGTCTACACGACACTCAACCTCGTGGCTGTCGTCTTGGCCCGCGTCGCGACCGTGACGGCGCTCTTGTCGAAGGACGTGCTCGCGTTGCTTGAAGCCGACGTGCTGCGTGGCATGCTGCCGCCGCCCGAGGTCATGCTCACGCTCTGCACCAAGTACCGGCCCTCGGACAAGGAGCAACATTCGTCCAAGATGGAGCTCGTGTGCGCGCGGGCCCTCGGCGTGCTCCAAGCGTACTTTGTGTACCTGCCGCAGACCATGGGCGAGACCAAATTCGACATTTCCAAGCTCCTCCTGCCGTCGCAGGTCGCGCCGAGCTTGCTGGGCGCGCTCTTGCAGCTGCTCCGCGTCGCCGAGCCGCACCGCCTCGCGTACATCGTCCACGGCGGCGACGCGACCAAGTTCCAGTCCCTGCTGCGCCACTGCTTGAGCGCGCAGCCGGCGATCGCGACGCTCGGACGCCACGTCGTGCGGCGCACGCTCGCCGCGCTCCAGATCTTTGGCCTTGCCCCGGTGTACGACACGTACACGCCACACGAGATCGATGTGTGGCTCGCGCAACTCGGCCGGCACCCGGACGCGCTTGCTTTCTTCGACAGTCTCGTGCGCGCCGTGGCTGCAAACCCCTTTGCATGCCCCGGGGCGCCGTCGTTGAGCCCTGTCACGCGCGCGCTCGTCTCGTACTTGAGCAGCGCCGAGATGCCGCTGCAGCTCAAGGTCAATGACGTGGCAGCCGCCACTGCATTTGGCGTCGCCGTGCTTCGCAACCTCCAGCCGCTTTCAATGGCGCCCCGCGAGCTCGTGCCACCGACGATCGAGCGCGACCCGACCGGTGTCGTTGCTGCCTTCGTTGCCGCGTGCACCAGCGTCGAGAAGAAGGCTAACAAAGCGTATGCGCGCACGCTCACAACCACCACGTCCCTCGAGACACTGTCGCCGACCGAGTCGCTGGTCGTTTCGGAGCCGCTCCTGATCGCGTCCGTCTCGCACCGCTTTGCCGCGATTGAGCAGTACATGTCGACGCACGGCAGTGCCTCGCTCTTCGACTCGGACGTGCTCCAAGCCGGCTTTGGGAAGCCGTCGACCAAGAAGCGCTGCATCGTGACCCACTTCTTCGCGACCGCACCGACGCACGTCGTGCTCCAGTCGCTCTTCCACCCGCACGTGCTGCTCCGCGGCGGCCAAAGCGTTGTGCCATCGGCGTCGGCGCTGCAGTCGTACCTCTCGACGCGCTTGGCGACGCCGGACGCTAGCGCGACGCTGGCTGCGCTTGACCTCGTCCACAGTCTCTCCGTGTACCTTGCCCGCTACAAAAAGGTAGAGTTGTTGATTGCGTCTGCCGCGTCTCATGCGCCGTGTAGAACGTACCGGCATCGAAAACGTACATTAAAGCCATGCGCGCGGCGGTCTCGGCGCTCCAATTGCTCCTCGTGCACGTGGCCATGGACAGCGTGCCGCTCCACGAGTCCTTTTGGCACCGCGTGTGGGCGCACCACGCCGACGTGCTCTCGTTGTCGCGACCGCCGACGACGCGGTGCTCCGTGCGTGGGCCATGCTGCCGTACGCTCTCGCGTCGCTCTTCCCCAAAGCGTACCTCCCCCAGCTCGTGACGCCGTGGGGCGAGACGGGCCCTCTCGCGATCGCGATGGCGGCGCACGCCTCGCCGAGCGAAGTCCACGACCTCGTCGACGCGATGCTGTCGACGACACGCCCGAATGTGCGCCTCGTGCTGCACCTTCTCGACCTCTCGGCGCATGCGACGCTGCACCGCCCGTCGCTGTTCGCGCGCGTCGTTGCGATCGCGCTGTCGCATCCAAAGGAGGCGTCGCCCAAGGCGTGGCTGCTGCACTACATCCAGCAGCACCACGTGGAAGACGATGCGCTCTTAGCCTCACTCTTTGAGTTGTGCTGGACCGACGTGTCGAGCGCGCTGCACCTTTCGCTGCTGCAAGAGCTCGTCGTCAAGAACGCCAAGTGCCGCCTCGCGTTCGCATCGCTCCGGTCGTCGAGCCACCTCTTGAACGAGGCGTGCCTGCCAGGTGTCTTGGCGGTGGCGGCCACGTACCTCCAGTCGGCGCCGCTCGCGCCCGACTGCGTCCAATGGATCCGCGACGTTATTGTCCCCACGTGCGTCGACGCGATCCTCGGCGACGACGCCAGCACGTCCATGACGTCGCTCCCGGCCGTCCTCGACGCGCTGCCCGAGCACAACCTCAGCGGCGACGTCGACTTTCTCGTCGATGGACTTGTGCAGAACAAGGGCAAATTGCTGTCCCCGGCGCAGCTTCAAGTGTTCGTGCTCGCGACCAAGCACTACAACCTCGCGCCGAACGCGTTCAAGCTGCTCCAGTTTGCGCTGCAGCAGCTGTCGCGGGCGCCTGCCGGTGTCTCGGCCGACGCGTGTGCGTACGTCGTCGAGACGCTCCTCGTGGCCCACGCCAGCGACATGAAGAAGCTGCCGACGATCGCCGCTCAGTCCGTTGTCAAGGCTCTCGCAGCGGACCGCGCGTGGCTCACCGCGCCGGCGCTGCACCGTGCGATCAAGACCATGGCCGTGCTTCTGCCGACCACGGTCGACTTTGTCCCGCTGGCGCGCGTCATCGTGGCCGCCCTCCCGCAGCAGGCCGAGCTAGAGCCGACGCTCGTGGATGCATTGGCTGCGATCCTCGCGACGGCCCGCGACGGCAGCACGGACGATCTGGTCGACCTTGCGCTTCTGAAAGCGCTTTTGAGTCGGTACAGTGCGTCCTTGTCGCATGTCGACGTGGCGCTGCAGAGCGTGCTGTCGCTTCTCGAGACCAAGTTTGACGTGCGCTTGGAGACCGCGCACTACTGCTTTGGCAAGGCCAACCACGTCTCGTCGTCGTCGCTCTCCAGCGTCAAGTCGCATTGGCTCCTCGAAGAAATCGAGCCGGCCCGTATGCGCAAGAGCATCGAGTACTTTCCCCTGCACCGATCGTTTACCGGCGGCGCATGCGACGCCGACCAAGAGCAAAGCGTATACGACCCGGCGTTCTTCCTCCCGCTCGTCGCGCACACGCTGTCGACGAGCCACATTCCGGACAAGCAGCTCCTCCAGTCGGGCATCCTCGGGTGCGTCGCCACTCGCTAGCATGGTCGCTGACGTCATCTCCTGCGTAGGTATGCGATTTGCGCGCTCTCGGCCGAAGACGACACGATCCGGGCGTACGCCTACGGCATCGTGGCGTCGGCGCACGAAGCCATGAGCGTCACGGCGCGGTCGCACGACTTTCACGAGCGGCGGCAGATCCATCTGCTGCTCGAGACGCTCAAGAACGGCGTGCGCTCGACGCACGAGCGGCTGCCGTCCCTCTTGACGGTGTTTGCCAACGACGCGATCTCGGTCTTGCTGCGCCCGGGGCACGCCATGTACCCGCTCATCAACGCCTTCTTGCTCGCACGGTCGGCGCTTGACACGACCGACGTCCCGATGTTCTACACGCTCTTCAACTCGAGCGCGACTACGTACCGCCAAGAGCGCTCGTGGCTCCTGCACATTGTGCGTGGATGCGTTGATACATTGATAGTATCGAGGGCTCATACGTGGATAGATCAAGCGCGGCGTCCGGCTCAACATTGACGTGGACCTGCTCCAGCGCCGCCACGTGTATGCGATTCTGCTCACGTTCTTCGACTCGCCGCTGGCGGACGCGTACACGCAGGACTTTGTGCTGCACATTCTGAGCCGGTCCGTCGCGACGCCCCACGGCGTCTTCACGCTCGTCCACAAGTTTGGGCTCCTCGCGTGGCTCGAGTGTGCGCTGCTCCGCCACTTTCAAAGCGACGTGATCGCGCACTGGCTTCTCTCGATCGCCACGACCGCCATCGAGGTACGATTTTGTCCTGTGGCGTCTCTCAGAAGCGTGGCAGGCGTACGAGTCGGCCGAGAAGAACGACGCCAAGTACCGGCTCAACGTCGTGACGCAGCTCCAGCAGCTCTGCAAGACCATGGTGCAGCACGCATCGTCGCTGCCCGCGACCTGCGCACCCCTCCTCTCGCGACTGCTTTCCCAGGTACGGATACGAGGTGGTTCTCTGGAGCTTCATGAAATTGTTAGTACGTGGCGTTTGGACTGGCCTCGGCTGATACGGATCTGTGGTTCTCGCTCGACCTTCTCGAGTGCTTGGTGCACCGATCGACGCCGGACGAGGCGCGTGACGTCGCGCAGCTCGTCGCTCGCTGCTTTGCGCGAGTGTCGAACGCGGCGCGGTCGATGCAGTTCTCGCCCGCAACGTATGCGCGCTGGGCGGCCCTCGCTGCCTTCGTCGGCGCCCATCTGAGCGGCGACTTGCCGCAGACGTTCCCGGCGACCGTCCACGCGCTGCTGACGGCCTCGCCCGCGTTTGCGTCGGCCGTGCACAACGACGTGCCGCGCGGCCAGAACCAACCGTGGTTTCGTACAGTTCTCGTACAACCGGACAAACGAGTGGGGCATGGAATTGTGGTAGATGATCGGGGGGCGGGCATACCTATTTTTCCGCCTCTTCCCCCGTGTCTGGTTAAATACATAGAAAAAGGTGCGAATACTTTACGGGCGAAGTGTTTGCTGACCTCTGATGTTTCTTCTTTTCA